CCGCCCCAGGCACGGCACCCGCTGGCTGGACGAATGCACTCTGTCCACAGCTCAGGTAGAGAGGAAAAGTTTACACACATCCCCCCGACCCTGCCAGGCTCCATGGCCAGCCAGCCCCATGCCGTGATGCGCCTCCTCACCTGAGGTGCCCGAGCTGCCGGCAGACCCGCGTCCCCTGCGCCAGGCTCCAGTAGTCGTGACAAGCCAAGCGCCAGCCCGGCACGCCCGGCACCTGCACTTCCAGCAGGAAGGTCCCGGTGGTGATCCTGAAAGAGACTGAAGCCATCGGATGAGCAGGGCCTTGCCGGCACATGCCGCTATGGCGTGAGCCCAGGTGACCCTCACTGCAGACAGGGCAGCCTGGGGAGGCAGGCGAATTGCAGCCACCGCGCTGGCACTGGCCTGGCACCACAGCCCACAGCCTGCTTCGTTGCTGGCTCAGCACCATCTCTGGACCCCAGGACCAAGACCCTCAGCCTGTTCCCATCGGGACCCCAGCCCAAGGACTGGGGCACGGGCTCAGAGCAGGGCTGGCACTTGTGCCCCCAGCCCCAGCAGTGGAGGAGAGCACGGGTCTGGGCAGCCTGCACCCGGCAGCTTGCGTGCAAAGCTTGAGCAGCCCCGTAGCTCGAGCCCTGGGGGTGCACTGGGCCTAAGAGCAGGGGCTTGACAGCCCCCCACCATGTCCTGTCCTGGGCAGTGGAGCTCCCAAACCTCTCTGCGGGGCCCAGGCAGGCATGGCCGAGGCAGGCTCCTCATCCTCCTCCGTATCCCTGCAGTTTGAGGTCACCGCCAGGTCCGGCAGGGCGGGAGCCTCCTGCCCCCTCGGGGGCTGCCTCACGTGCCACGCTGTGGGAGGGAGAGCAGAGTCGGTGGTGGGGTGGCAGGTCCCACCAAGGGGCCTGGAAAAATGCCATCGAGCTGCGGTTGTGTTGCCAAAGTCCCGCAGCACCGCAGCGGGCTGCAGACCCACTGTGACAAGCTGGAGCTTGTTGGGGGAAGCATAGGCAGAGAGGGCAGGAGGGATGCACTCGGGCAGGCAGAGCCAGCCATGCACCCTGGCCCCCGATTACCCCCCGCATCGAGCCCTCTGCTCAGCCACGGGGTCTGGGCAGATTCCCCAGAGGGAAGACTGACCTAGGAGCCACAGCCCGGCAGCCACCCCGGCCAGCAACCCCACGACCGCCAGCAGCAGCAGGAGCCTGTTGGCAGTGCACAAGCCCTTGAGGGCCGGACAGGATGGACCTTCAAACACAGAGGGAGAGAGGGCAGAGACCAGCGCTCGTGTCCCGGCTGCTCGTTACCCAGCGCCAGGCACCGCTGCACGGGCTGGCACTTGGCTCTGTCTCTCCCCCTCCCCACCACGTCCCCTGCAGCTCAGGTCTTGCTGGTAGCTGGTTTGCTACCTTACTCCTGCCTTATCATTCAGGGTGGGCAATGCCCCGTGAGCTCCAGCCCTGGCACCAGCACAGTCTGCCTCCCCCAGGTCCTGCCCGCAGCACCCCGTGGGTCAGGCTGTCCCTGCCCATGCCTGTCCCACCGCACCACACCGAGGGCTGTGCCCTGCCCATGTTACCTCCCAGCTCCGCTCGCCAGGTCCCATAGCGGGGGCCCGTGCCCCCCGGGCAGGGCTGATCCACGGGGAGGGGTGCAGGCGAGGCCACGCTCTAGGGAGACAAACAAAGACCTGGGTCAGGCTGGAGGCAGAGAGGGATGCCGTCTCCAAGGTGCTGTGTGTGTACACATGTGTGTGCAGGTGTGTGCATGTGTCCTCCCCACCCCACACCAGCCCGCTGGGCTCCGACACAGCAGCAGCAAACCCAGGAACGGTCCCCTTGGGCCAGGACAGACACTGGGACACGTTCCCAGGTTAAGACACACGTGTGCAGACATCTATTCTGAGTACTGATGAACCCCACAAGCCCACGCGCCCCCTCCGGCCCCCATGGCACGGGGGCCATAGGGACACCTGCCATGGCTGCCGGTTATATAAGGAAAGAAAACCTGGTGAGAAAAGACATGCGGTGGGAAACGCCTGGGTCTGCAGCCTGCGTCGGCACGGAGCGAGCCTGCGCGCAGCAAGGCTACGTGGTACTGGGCAAGCGGGCAGCACCCGCAGGGCACGCAGCCTGTCCTGGAGCCAGCGGGGAACGGCGCTCCCCTGTGAGCACGCACATGTGCACACGCACGTACACACTCTCAGGCCAGCCCAAAGTCTCCTGTCTCCCCCTCAGTCTCTGCTCCTTGCCTACCAGTCCCAAGGCCCTCACTGTGCCCCCACCCTGCCCCGCTCTGGGGTGGCAGGCTGCCAGTCCTAAACACCATCCACT